CAGGCAAGTGGGTGTTACTAGTATATCTGGGGGGGGGGGGGGGGGGGGGGTAAAGATAAGGATTCTGGATCCAGATTCCCCAAAAGGCCTTGAATGCCACAGCAAGGAGCTGACCCTGTTGAAACAGTGATTGAAACATTTTAAACAGGCAGTGAGATGTTCTGGGCTCACTGTTGTGGGGAGGTGGGTGCTGATGGGAATCTGGATCACTGTGGAGGAGAAGGGTCAAGAATTCCTACCTGTATGGCTCAAGGCTGTGACTATCTTAACAGCCACATGCCACTATTCCTTTTGAGACAGCTGTTCTTACCTGGATTGAATGACCCATCCCCCAGCAAGCAGCTCCTTGAAAAAGGAGTGGGCCTGCTGGCTGTGCTATGTCCATTTCACAGAGGGACAAAGAGAGAGGTGGAAAAGGACAGTGACCTGGCCTGGGCCTCTGGGGCCCGATTCCAACACCAAGCCACGCCTGAGCTCAGAGTGCATAAGGGCGGCAGCTTGTCAGTCCTCAGACCAACTGTACTCAGCGGTTTCTAGAATCAGAGCCTGGAGACAAGGAGGTGACCTTTGACCTCTGAGTCATCTTGCAACTGGACCGGTCACTTGGGCCTATCCTGGAAGGGAGGAGGGGTACCCGCCCTACAAGGGGACAAGGTGTCCCTGTGGTCAGGTGGGCCCCTGTTCGAGACCTTCAACTTGGACCCTGGGATTGTTACATGAGGGATGCCGTAATGAAGGCCAGTCCCTTCACTAAGGCACAGGGAACAGAACCAGTGTTTCTCTTGTCTTTCTAAATAACAAAGCAATACAAACAAAAAACTCTGTCCCAAAGCTCTCTTTTCTCCAGTCTGAGAAAGAAAGGAGGAAGCAGGGGGCTGTCAGGGGCTGAGGCCAGAGGTTGGGAATCTGCTACCGGAGTCCTGGGGATTGCCTAGGGATGGCAGAGGCCAAGTGGATGTAGGAGTAGAAGGTATTGACAGAGAGGGGCTTTTGCACTTTGTGTGTGTGTGTGTGTGTGTGTGTGTGTGTATGTGTGTGTTAGCTTATTCAGAATCTGAGCTGTTGGCTTTGTTTTCAAATGACCTGTTTAATGATTTACCTGGGTCATCCAAGGAGCAAGGGAGGTAAGGATTCCGAACCTCTGGTCCCCACAGATATAACAGCCCTCAGAGAAGAAAGTAAACAGATTCAGAGCTACCTACCTAGGAGGCTTCATCTTGTAAACAACAGCCCTGACCAACACTGAAGTCAGGTTCCTCAGCAGGAACTTTTAACAGGCCTTTTCCTTCCCCCCTGAGCCCAACCCGGTAGGAGACAAGACAGCATGGGAAGGGAAGAAGGGAGGGGGTGTGTTTGCTGTCAGTTTAACTTCATCTTGACCTATACTGTATTCATTCCTTTGGCAAGGAGGTACGAGAATCTTCGTCTTAAATCCCCCTCCAGACCAGACCCATCACAGTGGTAAGTGCACAAGGGGTTTGAGTTAACAGTAGCCTGGCTCCAGTTTCCACTCCACAGGGAGAATTGGACAATTAAAAGAAACGGTAAGCCTAAGCCGACGCTAACACAACAGTTTAAGAAGTCAAACACATATCTAGCGATGGGAAAAATCCAAGATTAATTTTTTTTTCTTTTTCTTACTTCCCAAGGCCTTCCACTGTTTTTTCCCTCCTGCAACACCCAAGCCCAGCCTCCAGGCAGATCCATAAACATGCCAGCTCCTCCCCTTCTATGGTTCAGAATCTACCCCCCCCCCCCCCCACTTCTCTGGATCCCAAAAGAGAAAAGAAACCAGCGACCCTGGCCCTGCAGCCCCTCCCCCGCTGCCTGCCCCTCCACAACCCTTCAGACACCTGGAGATAAACATCTAATGATTTTATGATTTTTCTGTTCTAGGGTAGAAGCTCAGCGCCATCCCTCCCCGCTTGCCAGTGGCTACAGGGGGGCCGGCCCAACCGGGAGGAGGGGAGTGGTGGTGGTGGTGGTGGATGGATGGGGGTTTGGGGCGTGTTTAGTTTGTTAATTTCCACCTCCGGGTCCCCACACCTGTTTTTCATTCATTCATTCGTTCATTCATTCATTCACGAATGCATCACAGAGGCCATTTGGGGAGGTTACTCGGGATCTCAGGGAAGGAACTGAGATGGGGGTGGGGGGAGGTTGGGTGTTGGTGGCATCAGTTGGAGGCCCAATGTAGTGGGGTATCTAGGTAGAGGGGACCCCCTGGCTAGAGAGCACAGGGGTGGCTTTGTCCGATGCAGGAGGATGGCAGAGATCCCGGGGGTGGGTGGTGGGGGGATGAAGTTGTTTTTGCACTGCGTCCCCCCGGGGTGCGCCTCTTTGTCTGTCCCGGGGCGGGTATCATGCGCCCCCCCCCCCCAATCTCCTCGCCCTACACTCTTTCTCTCACCTGGTCTTAGAAGACAGGAAGGCAAGTTTGATGAGGCCGTAGGTGAAGAGCGGGATACTCTCCTTGGCGACGCTGGCAACTTGAAGCCGGTGTTCCAAAATGTGCAGTTCCATCGTCCGCCCAGAGGTCCTCCACGGCGGATCATCCGCGGTGGCCCGAGTGGGGGGGGACGGGGACGGGGACGAGCCGCGGCCCCCGCCCCCTGCACGCCCCAAGCCGTGGGGCAACCGGCCCAGGGAAGGGGGCCCGGAGCTCGGTGCTGGACTGATTCGTATTCGATCCAGAAAAAGGAAGCTTGGCAAGTTGCAAAAAAAAAAAAAAAAAAGGGGGAGGCCTGGGGAAAACCTGCGGGGTGCAGCGAGCTACAGGGTGGACAAGCAAACAGCGCCCGGCGGAGCGCGGCGCCCGGCGCAGCAGCAGCTGGTGTTCGCTGTAACAAACAACTTGCCACTCAAACGCCGGGCTGGTGCTGCGCAGGCGCCGGCCGCAGGGCCACGCGATGCCTTTCGGGATTTGTAGTTCACGCCCGCACTTTTACGCGGCCCTTCCCCCTGGACTACTCCAGTTTGCTGATGTCAAGCCAGGGGGGCTGGGCTGCTGAGCCAAGGTGCACCCGGAATGCAAGATTTCGGGGTTCCCCAGGGACACAGAGGACTCCAATGGGGAAATTTGGAGCCGACTTAAGCTCAAATGCATGCTTTGTTATCGCTCAAACTCGGGATTAGGAGCTTTCTTTGGGGTGTCAAGCGCAAGCCCCTTTCCTCCACAAACAACTCCAGCGTTGGAGAAGGCCTGAGCCTGCCAGAGGAGAGATTTAGAGGACTCGGTGATTGTCGTACAGGGAAGCCAAAGCGAAAGAAGGGTTGGGTTAAAGAGAGTAGGGTGCTGAGGTCTGAATGAGAGCATACAGGCTGGGGGAGGGGGCCTCTCAGAGGGAGAGCTGTGCGGCCTTCCAGGCAGAAGGAACACCGTGTCCAAACGCACGGGAGCGTGAAAGCCCCCACGGTACTGTGTTTGGCTTTGTTGCTGCGGAAAATGTGAGGGAGGAGAGAGATAAGGCACGGGAGCCAGGACCCGGGTCTCCGGGATCATGAGTGCAGAGCTGCTGAAGTAACTGTGGATCCCCGGGAGGGAAGAGGGTGCGGGGGAGGGGAGAGAGCGGACCCGAATCCGAGCGAGAGTCATCCCTAGTGTTTCTAACCCCGGGCTTGCGTGCTGCATGGAGACCTGTTCAGCAAATATGCACCCCCACCCCCGCTTCACGGTTGACTGGGTTTTGAAATCCTCTGGGTTAAAGTTACTGACTGGTGCTTTTGCCCTTTGGCAGAGTGCTTTGGAGATGTGGTGGTTCAAGTCTACCTGATGAGGGAACGGGGAACTCTTTTGGGGGAGAAGATCCTGCAGGTCAATCTCAACATTCTCAGTCCCCTCTATCAGATAGGGGCTTCTTACGCTGCCTCATTCCCGTGAAAGGAGGTGACACCCAGAATCTTGACTATGTCTTATAACCTGACCATCCCTCTAGTTCTTTGATTTCACTAAAGACTGGGCCTTCCAGATGGCTCCGTGAGTAATAATGACACTTGCTGCCAAGCCTGAGGACCCTAGTTCAATCTACCGGCCCCAGACCTTGGAAGGAGAGACTCGAATCCTGTAGCTTGTCCTCTGATTTGCACATGGCAACGTGTGCGCACAAACACACGAAATTTAAATATATAATCGTTCTGTTTTTATTGTTTTTGAAACAGTCTCATGTATCTATTGTTTTCCTTCATTTCTTTATATCATTGAGGATGACACTGAACTTCCGGTCTTGCCTCCCTCTCCTGAGGTGACAGATGGTCAGTGCCACATCTGATACCTTGGTGGGGATAGAACCCAGGGCTTCATAACCCAGTACACAAACGCTCTTAACAACTGAGGCACTCCCAGCCTTTTTCTTTTAACTAAAATTTTAAACCTCTTTCTTTCTTTCTTTTTTTTTTTTTTTTTTAGTATATAGGTGTTTTGCCTGTATGTGTGTGTGTCACAAGCATGTTTGGCGCCAGGGAGTTTAAAAGAGAGTTTCTGACCACCTGGAACTGGAGTTACAGATGGTTGTGAGCTGCTCTGTGGGTGCTGGGAACAGAACCCCGGAACCTCTGGAAGAGGAGCCAGTGTTCTTAACCACTGAGCCGCCTCTCTAGATCCTTATTTACTTTAGAAAAAAAATTGTTTTATTTTCACTTATGTATCTGTGCCTCTGTGTGTATATGTTGTGTCTGTGTTGGGGTTATGTGTGCCCTAGAAGACCAGAAGAAGGTATTGGATTCCATGGATCTGGAATTATAGGTGGTCGTGAGTCACCTGACATGACTGCCGAGAATCAAACTCGGGTCCTCTCTTAGCCACCAAGGTGTCCCTGCAGCCCTTATTTTTGTTTCCTGAATTTTTGGAGACTGGGTTTCCTGCAGTCCAGGGTAGACCAGAACTCTTGGTTTTCCGGCTCCTGCCTTGCCAGCTCTTGGATTGAGGGTGCTGCACCGAACCTGACAGCTCATGCAGAAGCTGTTTCCAGCTGGGGATGTAGCCAGTTGGGACAGTGCTTGCCCGGCACTGGAAATAAAGAAAATATTGGGCATGATGGCACACATTTGAGTTTCAGTGCTCAGAGGTCGAAGCAGGAGGATTGTTATCTGTGGGAGACCAGCCTGGGCTATGTCATAAATTCAAGGCGAACTTGGGCTAAATGTAATGAGGATTTGTCTCAAAATAACAAAACAAAAACCTAACTTAACAAAAGGAAAAAATAAGAGGCTTGTCTAACAATCTCTAAAATCTCTGTTCCATAAAAGCAGTTATTTGGGGGTCTGATGAGATGGCTCAGCAGGTGAAGGAGCTTGTTGCCAAGCTTGATCTGAATTCAATCCCCATGACCTACTTGGTGGAAAGCGATAGCCAACTCCGTAAAGTTGTCCTTTCGTTCACACACACATGCTATCTTTAAGTAAATGTAAGAAGAATGGAAAAGCAATAGTCTTGTGTGTTCTCTGCTGTTTCCTCACTGTTAACACTGTGAAGACTCATTCACTATCTAGGGAACGCATACATGCATATATGTTTATGCCTTTGCAATGGGCTCTGCATCTAGAAAGCACAGGTACGAATGCAGCCAGGAGGCCAGTTTTGTGGTCCATATTTATAACCCCAGCACTTGGGAGACAGGATCATGAGTTCAAGGTCGTCCTCAGCTACATAAAGAATCCAAGGGCCGGGGAAATGGCTCAGTGGTTAAGAGCACTGGCTGCTCTTTCAGAGGACCTGGGTTCAATTCCCAGCACCCACACGACAGCTTATAAGAGTTTGTAGCTACAGCTCCAAGGGTTCTGACACCTCGCACAGACATGCATGCAGGCAAAACATCAATGCACATAAAATAAGAACAAATCATTAAAAAAGGAAAAATTAAGAAAAAGAGTTCAAAGCCAGCCTGGACTACATTGTGAAACACCTTTTTTCCTCTACCAAAATGCATTCAGGACCCTGAAAGGCAACACAGGCTATGGTTAGAGTGAGGGTTAGTATAAGTGGGCATCAGCCAGTCAGAACTGCACATGGGGAAAAATACTGGGCATGATGGCACACATTTGTATTTCAGTGCTCGGAGGTCAGGAGGGCCAGAGGCACAGCATCACAAAACAACCAACAGGTGACGAAACAAAACAGCCAGGGCTCCAGTCAGGATTTGGCCAGTTTTCTTGATTCGGTTTCCAGTGGACCAAATCAGTATTTTCCACTCTGCAGGCTGTGACTTGCAAGTGGACGGTGAAATCAGTTTTGCAGGACACGACTAGCATAAAAACCAATCAAGAATCCAGAAGGGCAGAGAATTGCACATGGTAAGGAGAGGTTGCTCTGTCGTCAGAACTTATGATTTAATCATGTGGGTCTGATGTATGTACAGTCAGATACTGGATCTTGATATAAAGGTGTGTTTCTTTTTTTTTTTTTTTTGCATAGGGAGTTGGTTTGGGGGTGGTAGGGGCTGGAGATAGATAGAGTTCTACTGTTGAGCCGTGTTTCTAGGCTTTCCCTAGATGGTTCTAAGCAAGCTCTTTACATTTATCCTCAGGCCCCTTCACTGGCACATTCTAGGCAGGAGCTCTACCACTGAGCCACACTTCCAGACCCTCACACTGGAAGAATCATGGCATCCACTCTTACCACTGAGCTACATCCCCAACTCTTGACTTTGAGACAGGATCTCTCTCATAGCTTATTGCCATGACCAACACACATTATAACTCAGTAATATTTTTATCTATCTATCTATCTATCTATCTATCTATCTATCTATCTATCTATTTATTTTTTGAGACAGGGTTTCTCTGTGTAACAAGCCCTGGCTGTCCTGGACTTGCTTTGTAGACAAGGCTGATCTCGAACTCACAAGGATCCTCTTGCTTCAGGCTCTAGAGTGCTGGGATCAAACAAATGTATGTGCCACCAAGCCTAGCTCATTCAGCATTATTTTAAGTTTACATTTAAAAGCTGAAATGCCACTGAGGCACTGGAAAGTATCCAAGCATGATCGGCAGACGTTGGCCAATTGTTTTGCCTGAGAGGAAGATGGTTTTGAGGATGGGTGACTTTCAGTTGAACAAGCACAGGGCATTTTCTGTTCAACCAAGATAAGGTGGCCACATCACTTGGAAGCAGTTTAGTTGTGCAAAGCCACCAAATGTACATTCAACTCTGGTAGAGTGGATTGAAGTTGAGATGCTCTGTGGGAGTTCAAAGACTCCCTTTGGGAAAACAATGTCAGGTATTTCACGACTTTTTAAAGATATATTTTAATTTCTTGTTGAAATGATAATATTTGAGGTATTGGATTAAAAAAACTACATTGTCAAGATTAACAATATTGCCTATTGTTCATTTTAAAAGAGATTTTATTTTTATTTGTCATTTATGGGCTAGAATGTTCGTGCACATGCAGGAGCCTGTGCAGACCAGGAAAAGGCGCCAGGTCCACTAGAGCTGGAGGTACTGGCTGTTGTGAGCGCCTGGCCTGGCTCTTAAGCTTTGAGCCCTTTCTCCTGCCCCATCAACATTTAAATGTTTTTTTTTTTTTCAATGTGCATGTTTGTGCCTGGTATGTATGCACGTACGTATACCTGTGCTTCTTTGTGAGTCTGTGGAAGCCCAAGGTTGGTGTCAGGAAACTTCCTTTCTCACTTTTCATCTGATTCACTGAAGCAACATCTTTCAATTGGAGCCGGAACTGCCCACTGCAGTGTGACTGATCTAGCTAGCCAGCGTGCT